TATTTTATAAATTTCATGTATTTCATAAAATCTTTCTTAAAATACATACACATGAATTACTCCAATTATTTATGAAGAAGGAAGGTATGATAATGGTTAAGAAGGAGTTAATGCATATGATAGAAACCATGATGTTTGTTTTTATGATGTGAAATGTGACATATATTTGGTGAAGGTGTTTTAAAAAGCTCTGGTACTTTAAAAGTCACAATAATCACATAAATTTTGACAAAATTAACTAAACAGATATAATCGAAAACCAGCATTGTAATATAGCATTTATAAACACACCTTTACTTTATACATATAAAAACTAAAGTAATACTTTAAGGAATTGGTTTGGGTAAAAGCCTTACCAAGCATATATTGTCGCAGAACCTGTTCAGGAGATCCCTTGCGGGCTGCATAATGGTTATGTATCAGGTCTGTTTGCATAATACCCAGTGGGTCCAGATCAGCAACTAAGTGACCTCGAGCCTATATGCCAATAAATAATTCCAAAAGGACCCCAATGTATATCAGTTTTCCATTTTTTTAACTACCATACATTACTACATTATAGAAATACAATATTGCTATTAAAAGTGTAATCACCCCTTAACTATTCACTAATTATTGCTCTAGCACATTAAAACTTTCAATTTAGACCTTTAAATTAACCCCTTTAAATTAACCTTTAATTCTAAACTCATATAAAAATATGCATTATAATTTTTTAAACGAAATCTGTAATATTTCTTAAAATTAAAGCTACCGTAACCTTTGGGTAAAATTTTAACTTCATTTGATATATTTGTATAATTATAATTTTACAAAATATAAAATAATATAAAAATATAACGTTAATTTACTTTCTGAAGATCAATTGCCTTTTAATATCATTTTATGCTTTTACTAATTCTCTATTGATTTCCCTCTTTTTTAGATATGTATTAATAAGTTATAATTTAGAGCTATAATTTACATCACAAATCTAACACATAATTTGTGGGAAATATTTAATTGTAAAACATGCTAGAGGTGATAGATGCAATAAGCATCTAATAAAATAAGGCTATTATGCAATACTTGAATATAATCTGACATTCTTAATCACTGTTCGAAATATTTTTTCAATGATAGGACGCAATGATGGATTATTTCATGAAATACATGATAGCCCTTAATGAAATAGTTTCAGTATCAATTTCTTATGTCCTATATGTTTCATAAGTTTGCTTTTTTTTTTCTTCTTATCAATTGCAGAACTAACATATCAACTAGATTAGTGAACATAAATATGGTATTAAGAAAAGAAATAAAGATTAGGACATGTGGAAATTGAAACAAAACTCTTATTTGATATCACATGCAACATGATAGTAGAAATTTCCCTTCGACATAAAACATACATACAATGTTTCTAGAACACATGCTATAATGTTTCAAGATCAAATAATGACTGAATTATAGTCAAAATATTAAGACACTTTTTCTAATAATCAAAAAGATAAGATAGAACATCTAAAAGCTTTAACATGAAGCCATAAAATATTATATAATTTCACTTAAATTGAATATCTTATGTAAAATAAAAAATATAATTAAATTTTTTTAATGTATTTAATAATAATACACACGTATAAAAAATTTGGTGCTTGGAAACATAATATTTTGTTGAAACATAGTTGTTGTTATCCTAGTTTTTTTAAATACGCAATATAAAATTAACATACCTGATAAGAACGAATAATAGCTTGAACAGCCAGATGGTCATCAATAATCTTTTCATTAACAGGTATTTGGCTCAATTGTGTACCACCACCAAGTGGTAATAATGCTCCTAATGGAACTTGGTTATGACTTGGAGCAAGAGAAGGAGGCGCCTGATATGCAAGACCCGGTGCAGCTCCAGCAGTACTACTGCGAAAAAATGAGTCCCAAGACTAAAAATAAAAGTAATAAAATTCATAAAAAATTACAGTTAATGTTTACTTCAATAACAAGGATATATTCCATGAATTTACTACTAACCACATGTACACTATGAGGATCTTGTAGCCATGCATTATACATTTCTTCTACATAAGTGCTGGAACTGCCATTGAGAAAAGGTTCTGTGGCTACCTTGCTATACTTTCTAATTGGTTCGATAACTATCACCTGTGTGGTCCTTGTCAGAGGATGGCTTCGAACCAACCATGATGCAAACCTTTCAGGCCTGCACATTTGTGGCGCTAAAGGGGCCAATGTACTAAATAGGGTCCTTGCCTTATACATTTTTACCTGCAACAAATATTAGTATCAATATATCTGTTCACTAGGTATCCAAAACTTATAAATCATATATTTATACATTATTTTATGGTATAACTAAACTATTTATATATAATTCATATGATTAAAACTACAAGTGTATAAGTACATTATTATCTTTGAGATTGTATTGTACTTTATCTGTAATTACTCACAAAATTGATAGTTTTTATTTAAAATTACTAGTAAATCTTTAGTGCTTTTATCAAATTTTATCAACTTTACTTCATATAAAGATTGGAAAAGGTAGATAATTATCAATAATACATTTTGCATTTAAAGGAAACAGCATATTTCCTTAAACAATCCTTTTGTTACAAAACCATAGGATATGTTTGTGTAATAAGAACAAATATGTCCTATTGCTTTGTAAAAAAATTTTGTAATCAAGTCTTTTGCAAGACTTTAATCTATTTATAAAAAAATATTTTTAAATTTCTCTTTAATTTTAATTGTAGATTTCAGTTGCACAACCATGTATGATGTGCCAACTTTAAAACTTAGCACATGATGAAATCAATAACTCTAAGTATATGTATACCACTTACAATTACGGAAGATACACATTTTTTAAAGTAATAATTAAGATATTGTTGTTGATAAATATTTCTTTGAAATAATATAAGTAGTAATCTGCTGATATAGCATATCTAAATCTGCATGTCTACTCAAATTATGTTGATTAGAAATGTACATACATAATTATATATTTTTCATGTATAAAATATAACTTCTTTTTATGCTTCTAAACATTAGCATGTTAGAGGTATATAAAATGAGAAATGGTAAATATCCAAAAGATGCTAATGTTACATTGCATATAAAACATAAAATATATATGATATTTAACATTTCTATAGTTTAATAACATTAAAATAATTTTTGTGTAACAGATGTTGTTAAGAAAATGTACAAAAACTTTGCATAAGCTGAAACTAAGATATTAATATATATGGATATGAATTTAAGTATATTAATGGTAAAACAAAGAACATACATGTATATGCATTATAATGCAGACTGGTCTGCACAAATGACATAGTCTATCATAATAAATGACTAATGTAAGACAGATAAGCTAACAAGAAAATCAAAACACATTGAGGAGATTCATAATAAACTCTTTATATTCAACTTTATTGACATGTTACAAAACATAAGTAGATATACATTTAAAACAAAAATATTAGGTTAGATTATAATTTATAATATCAAAATTCAATGTGTCACTAACACTAATTATGGTATTACATTGTGTAACTCATATTGAAGTTAACAAAAACTATTCATATTAATTACGCTATACAGACGATAACGAATTATCTATTATTACAACATCAGTAATCGGTGTGTATATCAATACGTACTTACAATTACTTCATATAGTAATTTTAATAAAAAATAAATAGCAAAGGATTATTAAAATATATTTCTAGTTTTTAAAACAGTTATGCAAATAAGACGCAATCCTTTGTCAATTAGACAATGTCAGAAACATATGACATTTGTCCGAAAAACGTGGTCAAACGTCAATTTTTTGGCATGCCGATAGGGATTAGCAAGAACAAATGAATCTAAGAATCTTATTAAAAGTGAAACTACGAAAAAAAGTGCAGAATTTACGATAGATTTCTAAATACCTATTGCAACTACACAATTACATTTATATCTACATATATGAAAGATAATATTTTTCATTTGAACACAATCATATTGTAGGTTATTTAATTCAATCATTAAGAATATTTTATTATTGATGGGTTAATATGAAAGTGTAAAATAAATGTTAAAAGTTATTAAGGATCTTTTCTAAAAAAAAAATACGAAAGAAATAACTATATCTCTTAAGTCAGGTGACTATTTTCGTCTGGTGCAATAATTTTACGTAATCAAAGGTGTCATGAAACAAGATTTCAAGAAAGAATAATATTTATTATTAGAACTGATGTTCTTTATAAGGCGATCAACAATTCTTCGTAGAAATCATAATTATTTTTCGTTAATGTCATAATTAAAAATCAAACATAAATGAGATACAAATCTACGTACCTGATCTTAACGCGACAACGATGACAGGCCATCCACCATTTACAACTCAGGATTAGACCGAACTACGTCTTCTTAAAGTACAACATATCTATAAGCAAGAAACAGACTTCAGCGCACCTAACGGCTAAATATTACAAACCAGTATTACAGTAATTCAATTTAAAAATTTACCAGAGATTTCCCTATTCTAGATTTTTCTTTTTCATTTTAAACTTATCTTTGAATTTAATTATTTCTGAGTATTTTTAGATTGTTGTAGCACTTACATAGTCTTATAATTAGGAAGTATGATTTTTATTTACATTTATTGCAAACATTTTTGCATTCTACTTGTCTAGAAATAAATTTGATTTTCATTTAATATTAAGAAATCTATAGGCAACTTTTAAAACAATTTAATATTTTTACAATTTGGTACATTTAACAAAAATCAAATGCTTTAGTTAATAATAACATTGGAATAATAAATGTAATTTTTAAAATGTTTGAAAAGTTAAATGAAAGTCAATATTAGAACGGGTAATACATGTTTAAATATTTTACGAGCTTTTGTAAGAAGCTGACTAAAAACTAAAATTTTCCCTTAGACGATTTTCTTTTAATGAAAGAAGTACATGTTGGAAACAAAAGATATATAAATAAAAATGTAATCGATAAACAATAAAAACGTAACCTGTGAGTTCTTATTCTTTGAATTTTTTATAGATTTCTTTTACAAATTTCTTTTATCCGTCAAAAAACTTTTATTATTAATCTTACTAATGATGGTTGTTTGGTAATTAAACTATGTATATTTATTAACTAAAAACAGAATATGGATGTTAATTACAAGAAAAAATATTACACTGGTAATTATATATTTTGCATATGTGATTTAAATATATCAAAATAACTTGTATTAATCTATATGTTATATTTACACTACAGTAATAGAAATAATTTAGTTTAATTATGTTGAGTTTTATTCATTTAGACGTGAAAAATGTAAAACAATGGTTCTATTCTACGAAAGAAAGATGTGATTCGTTAAAATCTCATATGAAATATATGAAAATGTTATATCATGATATGCCAAAAATACAAGAAACTAAAAAGACTTTGTGTGATCCAAATTGGCAAAATTGTAAAATAAAGACTTCTAGTAATGATGAAACTATAGTTTCCAGACAAGTGAATTGTAATAATTCCTTGGAAAAGTATTCTGATAATCTATGTATGTTTTTAAATGAAAATGATGCAATAAAATGCAATAAAATATTTTTTTTCGCTGTACATTCTTTTATTATTGTGAACTATAAAAAAATAAATTCAAATGCATTCTCTATGTTACAGATGATAAGATCCACAAAGATAAGCCTTTCACAACTCCAAATTTAGCCAATATTTTATCAGAAAATAATCTGCAGAAGAAAGAAGAAGAAAAAGAAAAACAAAAGAACTTAAATAAACAGAAAGGAACAGAAACTGAATTATCTTCGATTACACTTCAAACTTATGCTATTTCACAGAACACAGAATCAAGATCGTTACTACCAACTCAGAAAGATAACATGGCAGTATGTATATTGTGTTTAAGTTATGAATATATTTGATATGCATTCTAAATGAAGTTGTTCTTCATAACTATATTCATAAAAATCTTATTAGCAGTGTGAAGAACACAATTACAATTGGCAATTCCCATATCAAAAGCATCTAACAGAATATTCTACAGAATTAATAGGAAATAATGAAACTTTAACCAAATCTTTTGAACAATTAAATCTGGATAATCAAAATAGCTATTTACTTCAAGAATCATTTTCTGCAAAAGATGATATTAAACTAAATATTTCTGGTAATGTTAAAGATGGATCCGTGGATAAAAGTAAAGTCTCTACAAAAAACGAAAAAAAAGAAAAAGCTATTTCTTCAGCATTATCAAGCAAGAAAGGCTCCTTATGTAAGCTAGATGACATTGTTCCATTGAAGATTAAAAGACGAAGAAAAAAAATACACTGTTCTAATTCACGGAGTACTGTAACTACAAGAGATACAATTTTTTTAGGAAAAAAGGATACAAAAAAACGAAAACAAAAAAGTATCATATAAAGATGTTCATTTGAAAACTTCATATTGATTTTTATGTATATTTTAGATAGTGTAAGTAATCGTCATACATTCAAGTCTCACCAAACATCTAATGATGTAGTGGAAATTTATCATAATGCAGCAGCAAAGAGTGGTAGCACATCTGCTATTCCTAGTAAACATTCAAAACTTGAACATCACATGAACTATATTAACATATTAACATCTTCAGCTATGAATAAACAACAAAACATATCCATAAAACCAAAATATGAAGATAATAATTATCAAAATGTTAGTGATGTTAATGTAGATTGTCCCAAAAATTATTCTCAAAAGCAACATCAAACTGATCAGAAAACAGTGTAAGGACTCATGGTAGTGGTTATAGCAATGATATTATATAATATCAAATATAATATTAACTTCTATTTTCAGAGAAAGGATTACAATTAATAATGATCTAAGTAATAATTTGAAAATTTCAACCAGTCCTGCATGTACCATGGAAAAGTACAATTCGCATCAGTGTCAACATGCAATTATACAAGCATCATATTGCGACCCAATAGTTACTCATAATTATGAAATGCCAACTTTAGCTTCTAAATTAAAGAGAGCCAATCGTTCATATTTCGGTAGATTTAACTTTCAAAATATACCCTTTGTAGTGGGTACTTCTGTAACCCCAAGTCATAATTTAGGTTTAAATATACAGCAAGTATGTTATTAAATATAAAAGTAAGCTATGCTTATTGTTACAATCTTTCTTTATTCAAAAGGTTTTGAGCATTATGAAAACAAGGCAAATTGCTGCAACAGGAGTGACACCTCTTCTTATTCGTAAGATTAGCAGAGGTATGAAGCCTGCATCTGTTCTTGTAGAACAGATAAACAATCAACAGAGTAAACTGTCTCATATAAATTCCCAAATGAATAATATACATATACAGAAAGAAAATTTGTTTATGAGTAAAGGTGATCATTTATTAGAAAATGAAAATATGTTTTTAAAATATGATAGGAAAGGAGTAAGTAATTTAAATGTAAATTTGAAATCAAATATTGAGCAATATCAGAATTTACAAAAAGGAATTAATGGCAGTGTAAATAAATATGGGAATTTTCATAAGAAAAAGGTTTGCTTAGTAGACAATATTAAATGTAATATCATTGGAAATGTTCATCTTTCATTTCAGAACATAAAAATATTTCTTGTTATTTGCAGGATACTAGATCAGAGAATCAATTGAATACACTGAATACAATACTACATGTAACAGACAATAAAATGTTGAAATTATTTGCTTCCCAACAAAATGTAAACACAAAGATGGAAAACCCAGAAATGCAATCCAAAATATATCAGGTAAAGTTATCTAGATGAATAGATTGTTTAAAAATATTAATCTAGAACACATTACAGGGCAATATTTGTGATAAACACATTTCTAATACCTCAACAGTTAATCATTCTCAAGATTCTAAAGGAATAAGGGAAGTTCTCATTAACCTTCATGATCAGTTCGAGGAAATGAACACGTAAGTTAAGTCAACCAATGATAAAGTAAAACTCAATAATCTATATTAATCTAATATTTCTTAACATATGTACACACACTATAGAAAATATGAAAAATTACAAGCAAAAGCAAAAAAATACAGTGATAAAGATTTAGAAGAAGAAATACTACATTTAGAAAAAGAATTAAGCATTAAAGAAGATGAGATAAATGCTGTTGTTAACTTGTATAAAGAGGTAAGATTATTTTGCAGATTTTTTATTTATACTTAGACTAAATCGTGATATTTTACAGCTTATTTATAAAAAATGTTTTAATGTTTTTAATCCTAGGTGATGTCATTAAAACATCAAATGAAATTATTACAAAAAAAGAACAGTTACGTTTGTATATCAACTGAAATTCCACTGGGATCAGATAAATTGTATGCAGCTATGCCATTTACATCAACTAAATCTAATGGATCAAATGGATCAAATTTTCAGCAGAGACTTTTTCACAAAAGGGGAAATAGTGCTGTCACAAGGGAACCTATTTCTCTTCGTCTAGCTGGTCTCTTACGGCAAATTCAAACATTTCAGAAGCAATTGAAACTAACATCATGGTAACAACACAATGTGGATCATATTTATCACGTAAGCTGAAATTATTAACAAATTTGTTACATGATATTAATTGAAACTATTTTTTATGTAGTATTGTCACAAAAAGTGGTCTGAAATTTGATAAAACATGATAAACACATATAAAGTATAATGCAAATAAAATTTGTAATTTTTTTTCTTAAGTAAGCAATTGTGTGGTCCCAATAAGAGATTTGTTTCTTATCACTATAATGCTTAGAAGATTATTAATCTAAATATTAAAATATAAAATATGCACTATAAAAGAAATATCAAGGATTTTGTTAAGGTTATTCAGTATAACAAAAACAATATTTTTAGCAGATCATATTTTTCTTTTATTCAATTCTACATGCTACTTGTTATAACGACTAATAGATTTGTTTAGTTTCGTATATTGATATACGCCCTTGCTTTTCATCTATACATACCGTTTATACGTATATACACAATTTCATATTTTCAAACGCTGCAGAATAATTAAAATTGTTGTTTATTTATTTTTTATTTTTACCTTTAATATTTAAATACATCATCAAGAGCGAATTATTTTTACGAAATAAAAAAGCAATTTATATTTTTCGTAAACGAAATTTCAATCTAATAGTGGCAATAATATTTATCTTGTAAGCGATTATACAAAATCACACATCAACAGATATGTCTCTTGTACTTTATGTACGAGATCTATTTCAGAAAACGTTAATAGAAAATGTTATTTTACTCCTGAAGCAGTATCTTTTCTTTACTTTTATCATAAAAATTAATACACATCCAACATTTTTTATGATATCTATGATGTTTAATAAAAAATTAGTCTTTTTAAAAGACTAATAAAATATAATGAGCCTATTTCTGCAAATATATTCGTAAATACAATAATAAATCTGAAAATCGTGTGAAAGGAAATTAATCGTTAAAATATAGTTTTGTTGGATTATTAAAAAATACAAAAAATTGTAAGTTTTATTAAATTAAATTAAATTATTCGGATTTTTCACTTTTGATTTTTCTACTTCAGTCGCTCTTTCTCATTCTTTTCTTTTTTTCGTATAAAAGAATGTAACGTTACTTAAATTACTACTTTTATTTTACGATCTTTTAAACAGATCATCAATCTCGATTACCTTCTACGAAGGAGATGACCGAAAACATTTCCTCACGTCAAGAAATCGTTTCCTCAAAAAAAATGAAGTCCTTCTCACACACACTCTCCCATATTAACATAAATAATATATCTCTCATATTATATCACAGACTAAAAAATGCTTTGGTCTAAAAAATCTTTTTCTGTTCCATTAATTCCGCATATTTTAATTCAGCGGGTAAATTTTATAACAAATGTCGACTGGATCAATGCAATATCAATATATTCAAAGAAATCAGATTCTTCATACGAGTGTGCGAAATGGATTAGCGCTAAAGAATTGGGGCCGCCATAAGTTTATTTGTAACAAAAAAACATAGATTAAACCAAAATATGTTGCAAGGAACCAATTGAAACTACGCATATATTCCAGCAATTTTTTATAATCAATTTAAAAATTTGAACATCGGTTGATTTTAGTCAAGATTTAAAATCATATACATATATGTATAAATATATAATAATTTATAGAATATTTCCTACATTGTTTTATTTTTTAGTTCTTAATACATAAGTACTAGTTAAGCTCTGTAATTCTTGTTTGCTGCAAAATCATAATATTAAAAACGCGAACCCCTTCGGCGCACTTCCATGTTGCTAAAATTCGCAAAGCATTTCTTTCGTTTGATAAGATTAAAACTGAAACTTTAGCACCTTCATTTAAGACGCTTTATCAAGTTGAATTTTAAGGCTACTGTTTATATACGTCATACCTGCATTATATTTCAGAATAATTGCCTTAAAATTTTACTTGCACAAATATAAAACGGAAAAATTAACGAGGTTTTAATGAATATGTTTAATACAGCTATAAGACTGTAACAGTTTATAGTACTCTACAATTATAACATGTGATATTTCTTACAAGGTACTTACATTACAAATAACCCCACAGATCCGTTCTTTACTCTCAACATTCAATATGATGATAATCTTCGACTAATGAAATAAATATCAATTTTAGTTTAAATAATGTATAATCTAGAATCTAAATATCTGTTCTTTCTATTTTCATTCAATTGATGTATTAGCTTTTAAAGAAGGTGATATCCTATGTCATGTAATATAAAAAAAGATATAAATTTGTTAAAAATAGTAATTTGAAAATGGCAATAATATTATTAATCGATAGAGTACAAAGACGTATGTAAATATATAATGCCTACTAAAAGAAGAAGTCAACATACAATGTATTCGTTAAATTCGTTTCAATTATGAAATTATTTTCATAATTTGTCACTGTTCGTCCTTAATACTTCTTTTGTAGTTTACTTTTGCATGTTAGCATCCATTGATATATAGCAAGATACGTACATATAATAATTTTTCAAGCAATAATTCATTTCTTTATGTCTTTGTTTTTTTACATACTCAACATTTAATCAAACATAAAGAAATGCACAAACATGGAAAAATATGATGCAATATACGTGTATATGCAAATAATATAAAATAGGAAGTAAATTTTTTAAAATTTCTATTAAAATGTGACAAAATTTTAAATAACACTGGTAGAAATATGTAAAATGGAGCAGGTCAGTGGCATGTTTTTCTTTAATATTTTTTTATGTGATGTACTTATTCGTATAAATTGGCAGTTTACAATAACCATGCAATAAGCATTTCCTTACTTTATTGAATCTGACGTTGAGTATTTGAAGGAAATTGAATGCAAATCGACAGATTGTTTATAACGCGGTAGCCACTGTTACTTTCTAACTATTAGTGTTTAGAGTTCAGAATACTAACCTGGTACTAATTTTATTATTTATTATCGTATGATATCGTTTTATAATATGCACTTCACTGAGTCATTAAAATAACAAGAGTCTTATCAAAACAATCTAGTTAATTAGAATAATTGAAATTGTCGTTGAAAATATTTCGTACAAATATCATATTACACGCAATAAACATTTTTATCAGAATTAAAGGTAAATTAATTTATCAATGTACTGATTTCAATAACTGAGATTTCAGTATATGAGTAGTTGAGAATAGAGTTTTGCATACATGTTCTTATATCGGTTTGATAGTTTGATTTAAAATAGATCGTTGGCCAATTATAATCAATATATACGAAGTCAAAGTATTACAGCCAGAGACAGCCTCTCCATTGTTCTCTTAAAATATTTTGATTTTTGGATAAATTCAAATTATCAGACATATATACTAGTGTCTTGTTTTAATATCCTTCATTTTGGATAGATGTTTTTTGTTGCCTCCTGTTGCACAATAGCATTTTTTATGAATGTTGTATGAAATTTCGGTTTTATAATAACCACTGCATATATTTCGGATGTTTTATAATGTTTGAAGTTTTCTTTATTGTTAGATGTATGTAAATTTCAAGATATTCATTAAATACTGCGTCAAGCATTTTTAGCTACTAGAGCATCGATCAGTCGAAGCTTTGCTTTAGCCTGCTTATATGATTCGTAAACGGTTGTGACTTGTGGGCCACGATCTTCTCTTTGCATTCTACGGCCGGCACGAGCTTCGAATTGTGCTTCTAATTCTTTTAAAGCACGTCGCAGACGCTTTTTCTCTTCTCTAGTTAATTTCTGTTGTACCAATAATTCCTCTCTAATATCAAATTAAGTAGTTGTTAATACCTTTCTAGGAAATAGATATTAGTGAATTATATATACTAAAAACTTACTGTGGAAGTGCGTGAAGACTTTCGTTGTTACTACGACTTCCTTCGCTACTGCTGTGCTGACTATCACTATCAGTTGGTAATTGATCTACTGAATCTATACAATCCAAAATACCTCTATGTGACATATCAGGTTCGCTAGCTCTCCTCTCTGTATCAGATGGATTGTTAGGTAAATTAGATGATGTAAAATCCATTGCTTCATGTTCCAAAATAGTAGCCAACTCTGAAATGCTATCTTTATTTTTGCTCTGTAAGAAAAACAGAAAGAAAGTTTAAAGATAATTTATATGTACATACATACAATTACAATACATACAATACATATAATTACAATACATACAATACATATAATTAAGATTATTATTAGATTTATAAAATATGTCGCTTACCACGCCTGCTCTAATAAGTAATCTTTTTAAAGTTCTGTATTTATCATATAAAGATCGCACGACAGCTCTATCTTCTTTAGAAACTGGTCTCCCAAAAGTATTCTCAATATGAAGCAAAGCTTTTTGAACAGCAGTTTTTTCATCTATTAATTGTTCATAAGTTAGTTCTTCCATATTTTCGGGTCTATTATATTTCAATCTCTTTTCACTTAGTTTTTTTTCTACTTCTTTTATCATCTCTTCCATCGAAACTGTTCTAGATTTTTCTTGGCTGTTATTGTTGTTTGTCGGACTACCGTTAGTTGTTGTTCTTGTTTTGTTATTTGCATTAGCTAATAACGCGCTCACCGGATCTTCCTTTAATAACTTATGCTCTTTTCGCAATTTACTTAATTCTGTACACAATCGTTTGATGTCCTTGTTGCTCATCTTATCAGAATGACTTGGACGATAACCAAAATTTTCTTCAAATTCGTCTTCGTATTTCTTTATCTTTTTTTTCAAGCCATTTATATACTTGGTTAAATTTTTTAAACCAAGTTCTGCGATATTCGGAGCATTAGGTTGCATTTCATTTTCAGAATAAAAACGTCTAGGTAGTAATAAAGAATTTCTTGGAGAAAGCATAGCTTCTACTCGTGCATCGGCAGCTTCGTCCTACAAATATTAGATTGATATGTAATATTGTCATTGAATATAATTGAGCTTATCCTAGTTTTGTTTACATTTTCTTGTCGTTGAAAAGTCCAGTTAGTTAGGCTGGGATTATTTAGATCTTCATGACTAACTGTTGGAGGACGAGCCGGTGATGGCGATCGGCTCGGTCCACTGCTCAACATTTCCAAAAAACTTTGTGCTGGAGATCCATTGCAGCTATTAGGATTCGATGAGACATAAATATTATCGGTTTCTTCTTCGTTTTCCTAACGAAAGAATTTTTGTTTCAATTTAATACAAATTCTATAGATTCTGTTTTGTTACATGTCACATGTAAAGAACAAATAGAAATTTTACCTTACTAGAATTCTCTGCGTCTGTAACTTTATGCACCCTCCTTCGTCGAGCCTGCCTTCGTCCTCTCGGAGTAATACTTCGACTGAAACGTTCGCTGCTTCTCAATTTCTCGGCATCGCATTCAAATTTTTCTGTTTCTAAAGCTGTCTCGCACGGTGACGAAGTTGGTGGAGTTTTTTTGGACACAGGTGAAACATTTGTTCTTTCATGTAAGGGAAGACTTCCGCATCTCTGTAAATAAAGTACCTTACATGTGTAAAGCTGAATTCAAAAGTAATAAACATTATTTGCATATTGGAAAAAACTCACCACACCATGACCCATGTCTTGTCCGAGCTGAGATAAAATATGCAAATGTTTTTCACTGTTAAAATCTTCGTGACTGCTCACACGTCTAATCGTGTCCGTGGTTTCAGCGGGACTTTCAAGAACACGCTCCTCGCTACTACTTCTAAAAGTGTTCGATTCGTTGAGAGAGAATAGGAGAAGTCAAACTGGTCTTATATATAATCTTTATAACTTCGTTAAAGCATTTTCTTTCTCCATTTGTTTATCGTACCTTATCAGTTTTCGTTCTTGACAACAGGATTCGTGACGTTCTTTACGCTTACGCGGTTTCAGCGCGCAAAGCAACGACGCTCCTTCAAAATCTTTTGGTTCGTCCTTTGTATCCTTGCAAATCTTACAATCACTTGCAGAGATCACGCCGTTCACCACGTTATCTCGGATGCTGAAAGCAAACCCATCATTAGAGTTAAATGCTCCTATTAAAGTGCTGTTCCTTCTATTCTAGTGAAGTATGATTGATAAAGGAATCCAAAAAATACTCTATATAAATCAAAATTCTATAAATACAATAAGTAAAAGGACTAAGTCAAGATTTTATGTTATGATATTATTAAAGATATTTCAGTAGTAGTAGTAGTAGTAGTAATAGTAGTAGTAGTAGTAGTAGTAG